CATTTCCAAACCCTTGAATTAATTCTTCGACTTTCGGTTTCTGGCCATTGTAAGTCGTTCCTGTTGGCTGATGGTTGAAATGGCCTACTTCGTTAATCACCTGTTTTGCTTGCGTCAAAATTTCGACACATACAAAGACTGTCCCATTGGGAAGAACACTGGGTATTGAACTCGACCTAGAAGTGATATGAGCTTTGTAGCCGTTATCTCCGGACTTAGCTTATACCTCATCGTCGAATCCATGACAAGCAAGAGGAGTGTCCACGAAGCTCATAACCTTGTGGACCAGGCCTTTTCTTGCGAACCCTGGTGTCTGTATTGCACCAATTGGCCAGCTAGATTCCGTCGGCTCAGCTCAGCTCAGCGACGAGATATTCGGCTTCATACTTGAGTGATACCGATACACCTTCTTTCACCTCTGATGCAGCCGCCTTGACAACGTCGGGTGTCAACAGATTCACGGTTCCTAGAACATCCTTCTTGCCATCCTTGTCGAAGACTCCCCAGGCACAACCCTGTGGCATACCTTGCACTTTAGGAAGTGAATCGAAATCGGGAAGTTTCGCGTAGCCGGCCATAATTTAGATATGGGTTGTGAAATCAGAAAGAGTGTTAGACCGTTGAGCAAGATATTGAGACTTAAAGGTGCGTGAAGGTCTACGTTTTCGTTCTTCGGGCCAACTCCTCCTTGCCCCGGAATCCATTGTCCTTATTAACCCCGCCGATGCCCCGCATCATCATCAGTAGCGAGCCAGAGTGACGATGGACAGATGGGAGCCCCGATAGTTGGTGATCTACTAGGAATCCAGTGCTTGTCAAGCGGGCCGCATCCGAATCTCTGATTCACCTCCGTCCGCCAGCCCAGTGACGTGCGTGCTGTTCGAGATACGTGAGACGAATCGACTGCGCTATATCTCAGGGATGAAGAAATGGCCAGCCATTGTTCAAGAAAAGAGAAACCAAGTGATGGGATGAAAGCGATGAATGAGGGAATACGAGGTGGGATTCGTTTACGATATCATGCCAGGTTGCCTCCACCTTTTACGAAGCAGGGAGAGCTGTTTCATGCAGCGGAGGATCTCTCCTGTCTCAGAATCATCATCCACATCTGGGGTCGGGTTAGTATACTGAGATCCTGGAGATTATATCTGTACGATTGAAGTCGATCGACTCAACTTCACGGCAACTCAAACCTTCGTTGACATGAAGCCGTTAGACACTGAGTCTCGAGTAGTAGAGAATGGTGTCGCGACCTCAGGCACTCGGCGCCTGTAGACGAGTATGTTCACGCGTAACTCCGACGTGACCCAGTGATCCCGTGAGGCAGTGAGATGTGTTGAGATGGAAGTGTTGGTGCCGTTGGCCAAGACGATCAAGGCATATGATCAAAGCTGCAGTGAGTATCAACACCCCACCACAGCTATACCTCGAGCTCGAGCCCCTCCACCCTTCAAGGCATCAACAACAACACCACCATACAGACACAACTACACCAGACCATACAGCTATAACCATTCTTCCATACTTCATACAGCCATGAATATTCTTCGAGGAGCTGTTGATCGTCTGCGCGACACTTACGCGCCTGTCTCCCACACGTCGACTTTCCGGGCATCAGGACAAATCACACCGGAAGAGTTCCTCACTGCTGGCGATTTCCTAGTGTACAAGTTTCCGACATGGTCGTGGTCTGATGCCACGCCCATTTCGAAGCGCGTCAGCTATCTTCCACCCGGCAAGCAGTTTCTTGTTACTCGCGGTGTCCCATGCCATCGCCGACTCAACGAGCACTTCGCCGAGCATGGAGCTCCTGAGGACCTGGTCAAGGACGCTCTAGGTGGCGAAGGCGGAGATGATGATGATGGATGGCTACGAACTGGTGGCATGGCTTCAAGTCAGGAAGGCAAGGTTCAGAATGTCCAGACTCTTGATGCCAGCGGAAATGTGGGCGAAATAGAGGTAGACGAGGAGATTCCAGACATGGAAGACGAAGATGACGACGAAGAGGCCATCATTCGGGATCCTGCAGGAACAGCTGCCGGCGATACGTGAGTTGGGTTCCTCCGCTCCCATGTGCATCACTGACTCCTCGGCAGTTCAAAGCGATCATACACTCTCTACATCACTTACACACCATACTACCGCACGCCCCGGTTATACTTATCAGGCTACCTCTCCGCATCTGAACCGTTGCCTCCACAACTTATGATGGAGGATATCGCAGGCGATTACAAAGACAAAACCGTTACTCTTGAAGACTTTCCATTTGTCGATTCGGGTCTCAAGATGGCATCTGTACATCCGTGCAAACATGCGCATGTTATGAAAGTGCTGCTGGATCGGGCAGATGCTGCGTTGAAACTACGAATGAGTAAGATAAAAGAGGGCAAAGTGAAGCCAGGCGAGGATGTCGCTGGCATGGAGGGCTTGGTCGAGGATGTGGACAAGCTCAAGCTAACGAGTGTACCTGCAGAGACAAAGAAAGACGGCGAAGAATGGGAAGTGCTACAAGAACCTGGTCAAGGAGAATCCGAAGATGACATTGCCATTCGGGTCGACCAGTATCTGGTCGTGTTCTTAAAGTTTATGGCCAGCGTCACGCCGACCATCGAGCACGACTTCACGACGAGCACATAGACTTGTTCTGCAATATGATGAGTGAGTTGGACGGCGTTTTGGTTGAGCGACTCAGCAGGTGCTTTATTTGACATAGCGATGGCTGGGTATGAAGATTGTGCCAACAGACATGACATGAGACTCATGATGGGTGTTTGGCGTCCACGGTAGGCACGTTAGATCACTTGTGCACCTCTAGGAATTGACCTTTCTTTTTGTTCGTCTTCAATTCGAGCTCCTCTGATCCCAAAGATTCGTGCAACAATTTTTCTGACACACTTACGCATTACTGGAGGCTACCGAAAAGCGCATTTGGGAAGGGATTGCCTGTTTTTGAAGGCTGAACTTTACACTGTCATGACTGACTGCTTACTTATGTTCATGGCCCAGGCTGTCACGCAATAAACGAAGCATGTATCTACACCTTTCAAGGCATTGACAGGAAGTGATTCCGATAAGTGGCGTGACTAACTCTCTTCTTCCTCCGCCACTCTGCTTCCTTTTCATCGAAGCCTTACTCTCGCCTTCTGAGTAGGGTAAATGCAGGCAAAAGAAGGTGCGAATAAAGTGCGCCAATGGTCTTTCTTGGCTGCGGCTCGGTCTTTGAAGGATGCTCTGAATACTTGGGGCCATTTTGAGGAGTTTCGTGGTGGTGATCAAATCATGCAGTGGTTGAAGTTGTGGGAGGGTCTTTGTGTACGAGGTCTTTCAATATGTAGGGATCAAAGGACGATTACTTGGTTTTGATGAGACGGGGAGTTTGTACCGCATTCCTTATCGGCAGAATTTTACTTGTGTGTGACGATGCTCTTGATGAAGAAAAATTGAAGATGTTGCACACGTTCGGAAAAAAGATAAAATAGGGGAGATTGTTATTCTACCGAGATGCGTTTCCGCGCCTCATGAATTGCCTTTTTGATATCAAGATGGAAAACATAAAAGATTTTGACAGGCAACCAATACTTCGGCCTGAACATCCTCGAAGAAGAACGGTAACGGGATACAGAAAGCTGTCCGAAGAGGTGGCTGAGCATCCCTGCCTTTTGATTGGTCAGAGCACACGGCTCAGCCTGAAGATATGGCGATCCCCCTGTGCCTATGAAAATTCTAAATATAAGTACGGAGCCTGCTCCTTCATTCTCAAACTGTTTATAATTTCCTGACCGGTCGGTCCCTACGACCTATTATCCTTCCTTTTTCCTCTTCTTCTGGTTTGCGTGGGTTCTGAATAACCAGTTTCAATTGTTCTTGCTTCTTACGACGAAACGCCAGTCCCAGATTCATTCCATACACCTCCATCACCATTATTCACTTACGTGGGAAACTTTCGAAATAATGTCTCAAATCGTCGGTTACGCCATCATAGCCATCATCGTACTCATCTATCTCGGCCACATAAGACTGCCCGGTAATTTCCGCCTGGAAGATCGATACAACCCAAATCACGCCCGTTTCCGTACCGCGGGCCGGAATGCGAGACAGCAGCAATTAGCCTCGGACAGAGAAACTCGAAGGAGGAGGGAGGAAGAGGAATTGGTTGTTCTGGAGAATTATGAGGGGGATAGCATGGGTGGAGTGGGGGAAGAGGGGGAGTTTGTGGAACATCCTGAATTGGCGAGGAAGGTGAAGGATGTAAGCGTGTCTCTGTTTTCCTATCCCGAACCCCGAACGTCTCGCCTTTCTGACTTAAATATTCTGTATTTATTGTTTTTGACTTTCCCATATATATTCTTGCCGTCTTCAAGTTGCCGGTGTACTAAACATGTCCAGGAACGAGCTCTCCGCGTGGCAGCGGCAGAAGCGCGCATGAAAAGAGAAAAAATCAATGGGCAAACTGCGCGTCGCGGTTTGGCAGAGACCAAAGCGAAGAAGGGGATGAGTCATGCCTTGAAGCAGGCGAGTGCTGAGAATGTCGGGTGGAGAAATGCAGATGCGATGAGGGAGATAAGGAGTTATAATTAAAAGCCCGAAATCGAAATGATTGAATCTGAAAGACGAGATTGATGCAATGGGGATGGAAACTAAAAGCCCTGTTTGCTTGGCTTTGGAGTATCCCTTACGATTGAAGCTGGACAGAGATTCAGAACCATGAATCCGAAATCGAGTGCGCTTTCCCAATCTCCGTAAGTGGGCGGATGATGTTGAGGTGATGAATGAGGAGTCAAAAATCGTGCTGGACATATTCCAGCGGAAAGCACCCAATGGACTTCTCGCGTCTTGACCCTCGTATTCAAATCTATACGGTCAAGATTCTATTTGTTACCATCGCCCACGCTGGAAGTTCGCCAAGATCGATCAAAAATCCAATGTTATACATTAGGGACAACCACCAAATAATTTCCAGTGTTCCACCATCCATAAGTTGCCAACGGGATAAAAAGAACTGGCATTGCACAGGATCGAACTGCGGACTGGATGTTCAATTAGTTCTCATACTTGTAGGCAATGTAGATGTCAACATACCCTTTACAGTATTGAAGTCTCATGAGAGCCACAATGTAACGTGCTACCACTGCACCACAACATCTTTTCTTAGAAGAGCAAGAGCATGGATGGAGTATTGTACAGCCAGAGAGAGGGCAGTGGAGGCAAGGAGCGTTAGGGAGGTTGTGACTCAGTAGGAGAGGCTGTGATGTGACAAGAAGGATTGAGTCATAACGGAAGCCAGTTGGCCTCAACGTGGTTTAAAGAGAAGAATTTGTGGAACGGACAAGGAAATCTCGCTCGATGGTAGATAAGAACATTTAGAAGAAGGTTCGTTTGAATCAGGAAGAACTAATGATAGGGCAGGTGATGGAAGCACGAAAAGAAGCTGACGCTCGCAGATGAATAGGAGGCACCATTGACAAAAGCCGCCTCAGCCTGATTGACTCAAGCAATCATCACGAGTCAAGAAGCTAGGTTATATGTTTTCCATTTCGAGTGAGAAAGATAAACCTACCATTCGACGTCTTCTGTTGAGAAATGACCCCGACCCAAGTCAAGGCGGTTGGTAAGAGGCTGTGAATCTTATCAGCCTCGCCCCCCTCCACCAAGAAAACCCATGCATCACGTACCAATCACAGGACCAATCAAACTGAGACAACAGAAGGAACGGATGACCAACTCACTCGTGACGCGCATCCTGCACCTTGTGCCATCCATGCAAGGAAAAGCGAGAGCTCCTCCAATTTTTTCACAACCTCCTTCACCGCTTACAGAACGCGATAAATAGCAATATCTCCACACTGCCGTATCGAAACTCCAACTACTCTCAAACCCCTTTTTCACCCTATTCATCTCAACATTACTAAGCAAATGTTATGGAGCCCAACGATCCAGATCCAGACGGTCTGATACATCAGATGCGCAAACTGTCGTGTAGCACAACAAACACAACATCTTCATCAGCCGAATCACAATCAAGTTATACATCTCCCCCCTTCCCTCGAGCCCTTCGCCGCCCACAACGATCCCGCGCAATCCCCTCCAGCCCGCGCCCAAAAAGCATGATTTCCATGACACCGTACTCACGTTCGTCGCACGGACAATCTGTGAACAAAGATGATATGGACATGGAAATGACATCCCCAACCGCTAAAAATTTCATCGACTCGCTGATTCAGGAGATCAACGGTACCCCGATCCCTCCGTCTCCTTCGACATTCGACTTCTCAGCCACAGATTTATCCAGACAAAGGCAGTCCTCGATTTCGGATCCGTCGAGAATATGGAGTGGACCGTCGACGTCACCCTTGGAGTTTCCGGTCCATGATGAAAAGTCAGTCACCCCGGAACAGGAGAGAGCGGCGATTGCGAGATATCGGAGGGAACGATTCCCACTGCCGGAGCATGAATGGTGGAAATTGGAGTCGAAGCATCGAGTTGCATTGGCGGCGTTGAGAAGAATGGAAGAGGATCAGAGTAGGGAATCAAGTCAAGATGAGTCGCATGGTCAAGGCCACAGAGAGCCCTCTTACTTTCGCCGGAATGGCGATGAGGGCGTGGTATCAGGTTTGAAGCCAGAAGTTCTGGAAGCGTTGGCGTTCAGCCATTCGCCAAACCCGGAAACTGTGAAACCTGTCGGCGAGAACGGCCTCGATATCAAAAATCCCGCTCAGTTTTCCCATGCACTGATAAGACCCCCTGACTGTAATCCAGAAGCTTGGGAGCATTGGCAGCATCTGGAAGATGTCACCGATTTGCAGCGTCATGCTTGGTTTGGTGCTCGTCTTTCTGCCTACAGTTTCGAAAAGGGGGATATCTTTGATCTCCGCCACACCCGTGTCCAACAGCGTCTGCGCAGAACAGAGGAATGCTGGCAACATGGGAGAGCAGCCATGAACATTGAAACGCAATTTTGGAATGCGGTTACGAGCGGGAGAACCAAAGAGATGCATTCGCACAGCGCGATACGTATCTGCTTCAAGCGAATGCAGTCGAATTCGCGGCAAAAATCTTCGTTTATAACCGTTCCGAGCGAGAAATACACGAGCAAATCTTCCACCGCTACCTGCTCACGGCTTTCAATTGTCCGGAAGAAGACCAGGGGGACCCGAGTGTCGATATCCGTGATTTGGCAATTGCCCTTCTAAATTTAGGCTCAATTTCGAGGGATGGGCAGGTACCAATAGCGCAGGATCAGGATAGTCTACAAGAAGCGACAAAGCGCCTGGACCAGCTTCGCTTCGATTGACTGCTGCCATCTCTGGGTAATGCACAGCCAACCGGACTATCGAGCAGGTGACGTCTCGTCGCATAGCAAGACAGATCCGTGTGAGAGATCAGCTTTGATATAGGTTAGTATTCCGTGCCAAATGGGTTGAAAAGAATGAAAGTTGGAATATTGGCTAACTCTGATACCTGCAGATCATAGAGGAGATGAGCATGCAATGAGTTGGCCACGAAGCGCGCTGAGGCAGCTTTATCAATTTTGGGCAAGTGAATTGATACGGTTGCATCATTGAAAAGACACAGCGCCGTCCCTTGCCCGCTGGAAGAGGAAGTGGGTAGAGTGGATAGTGGATAGAAATTAGGAGCATACCAGAATATTTTCTTAGCGCCGGATTCGTGGTGGTGGTGATGGTGTCTGGTCAATGTCGACGATCCTAACATAGTTCCAGACGTGCCAATCAGACGGTCGAGGCTAGCCTTTTAAGCCATATCCTGGAGTGACATCCCTCTTTCAGAGAGCGCATTATTGCCAACGTCGCTAGCCCCTTTTGACTATACCTCATGATGCGCCATTCTTCTTTGCCTCTTCTGCAGCCTTCTTACGAGCCAAATATCTTTCCTTCGCACTGCCAATTTCGCTTTCGGTCTTGCGACTCTTCGCGGCATGTTCCAATTTCCTCCGCTCTTCCGCTTCCTCATCAGCTTCCCGTTTCCTTCTCTGTTCAATTTGAGCCTCCATCATACGTGTTTCTCGTTCTCTCCTAGCTTTGGGATTAGAACCGTTGTCATGGACTGGCAATGGATGTGCTGCTAAATGCGAAGTCGTGGACACTGGGCCTGCTGGCTTCGGCTTCTTGATGATGTTGAGACCTGCTGTAAGTAGTTGACGCTTATCCACGATCTGTCCGTCGTCATTCAGTATAACATCAGTGCCCTTCGCTTTCGCTTCTGCAGCGATCTCGATGTCTGTCTTCTCTATATCGATCGGAGCAATAAAGATCCCTTCTTTCTCGGCTTGTGCAGTGGCCTCCATGGCTTCTCGGTGTCGCTTTTCCTGTTCTTCGAGAAGAGTGCGGTGGAATCCTGTCATGCCGAGTTTTTTTCGCTTCTCTTCTTCTTGTTCCTGCCTCAGTTTCTCCTCTGCTTCAGCCTTCCTAACCTCTTCTTGCTGCTGTTTGTATGCCGAGGTGACGAATTTCTCTTTATCAGCAAATTCCTCGCCCTCAGCTTCTCGCTCACGTTGGAATTTTTTGTCATCGGCGCGGAGTCGGTCCTGCTTTTTGATAGCGGCAGAGGCAAGCATGTTGCTCATGTATTTGGGTTCTCTCTTCTCGGCTTCCGCCTGCTTTGCCGCCTTCTTTGCTGCGTCTGCGGCGTGAATTTTTTCATATGCAGCGTCGTAGTCATAGATTGTCGAATCCACCTCGAGCGCATCATTGGCATTCTTCAGATGAGTCTTCTGCGAAGACAAGTCACCGAATGGAGTGATCCTCTTGCTGTTGGCCTTTAGTAGCGGCTTTCCTGATGCGTCCTTGGCCCCTATGGCTGGTTCGATGGGCTCGGCATTGTCCTTCGAGTCTTCACCGTCTGAGTCTTCGAGAACCAGAGCGGGCTTCTTGGTCAGGGCATTGGGTCTTCCGGGTAGTTGAACGCCCTTCTTGGCGTTCAGCCCAAATTTGAGGGCCATGATGGAGACATATGTGTGAATTGCGAATGATGGTAGGGGTGCGGACTGTAGAAGAATTGGCTTCGCGTGAGTAGCTTCCTGTCCACGTGACAGGCGAGAGCGAACAGCGAACCTCAATTACGGCAGCGATAACAGTTGGCTAAAAGTTGCGCGTTATTCACACGCATGGAAATGATTCTGTGCAATCGTTCATGTCCAGAGGATGTCCAGAGATGTGAAGTCTTCGACTGTTAAGTGCCACGACCTCCTGCCTTTGCCTCTAAATGCTGAAGTCTCGATCTCCTACTCACAACAACCTTCAAATGTCTTCCGGAGAGACAGAATACCACAAAGCTCGACCATCGAAGTTTCGCTTCAAGTCACAACGGAGAGAAAGATCAGTTTCCCCACCTCAAGTCCGCCGGCATAAGAAGCGCAAAAGGACGTACCATGAGCCCCTCGACGACGACCCAGCTGCCTACGACGACAGCTTCTATGCAGATCCACGACATGCCAACTACATTGATCCTGATACCGCGTTTCGTGAATCGCTTTTCGACGCACTAGCCGACGATGAAGGCGCTGCATACTGGGAAGGCGTCTATGGGCAGCCAATTCATACCTATCCCAACGTCAGGCCCGGCCCACAAGGTGAGCTTGAACAAATGACGGAGGAGGAATATGCAGAACATGTTCGGTCCAAGATGTGGGAAAAGAGCCACGAATATCTTGCCGAGGAACGTCGGAAAAGACAAGAGGAGAGAAAGCGAAAGAAACAGCGGGAGAAAAAGGAAGAAGCACAGGCGGACAATGGCTCATCGTGGAGGGAAGAAGCTGAGAGACAAGCGTTCGAGGAAAAAATCGCAAAGAGTCTGAGAAATGGCGAACAAAGGAAGCTCAAAAAAAGGTGGCAAGATGCATGGCAACGATATTCTACAGGATGGGAGAAGTTCATCGAAGTCCTTGTTACCAAGAGTAAAGAGGATGGTGCTCTAGCTGGCAAGGCATCAAGGGGAATCATTCCATGGCCTGTCGAAACTGGGAGCTGGAAGAATGCTACCAAAGAAGATGTGGAGGATTTTTTCCGGAATGCGCCTCCCAGCGAAAGTGATTGGGCAAGCATTCTCAAGGCTGAGCGTGTCAGATGGCATCCTGATAAGATGCAACAGCGCTTTGGTGCAAACAAGCTTGATGAAGAGACAATTCGT